GACGTTGCTCGGTAGTTATCGATCAAAACGAAAGTCCATCTATAAAACGGAGAGTCCTTCAACAGAAAAACTTAAGGAACGGGGAAAACTATTATTAGGATAAACTATATTCTTATAAAAGAATTAGCTTGTTATATTTCTCAGTCTATTCATTTCATTGATGGCGTCATTATTACATGACCGAGTCCCACTTAATTTCGAACAGTCTAATTCTTCTATCAGGATGCCTTTGACATTTCAAGTTAACGCTTTCATTGGCAAGTTTTTCATTTCATTTCAATTTCTCTTTCTCTAACCTTCTTTTCCTTTGTGTTGATGTTTCTTTATTTCCCATGAGTACCGAAGAAATATTTGTCAACCCTCCCAGAGCTTCGTTTAGCAGGGTAAGATGTAATATACACTCTGATACCACTCAGTCCTCGGCACGAACTCACCTTGATAATTTGGTGAAAGATGCGCCACTTTTTTCAGCTTAGAGCTTACTCTTGCCTGACGAAACACCGTTCCGGGTTTGATTTTGGAGTTTTCCTTCTCCTAGACGGGTTGCAGACCAATGCTAATGACGCCCATCTCACCAAATTACACAAGTCATGGTATTGCTTACATTGATTGATGGACCCTCTTACTCTGGGAACTTAGAGGGTGGTAGATAATAATATTTTTTTACAATGCAAATAAATATGGGTTCTTACAACCTACAACATCATTTATTGTCTTCTTTTTAGAGTCGGGAAGTAGGTATTTAAAGGTAAAAGCTCGATTTAATTTTTTTTCTAGAAATATATTTTTTTATTGAAGCCAAACCTGGATGTGGCATCTATTCCATGGTGGGCCTACCAACTGCCTATCATGAACGAATGCGTATACAAAATTTCGTGTCCCTGTTATTTACCTCTGAGGAGATCTCTCGTACGGAGCCGATCCTGGCAGCAGCATCAGGTCACGTTTATGATTGACATGCATTGTTATCGGTTCTGGACCAGCATGCAAAATTTCAGGTCAATCAGTTACCGGGAAGTGGGCCAAATTAAACTTGCAAGATTTGTGAACATACATACAAGTCAACTTAAATAAAAGCTCTCAATTAATTAAAAACATATATAGGGACTAATTATATGGGTACGTGTCAGAGTGAGCATGTTTCCGATTTGAAACGTTTTGAATGTAATCATTGATCGAGTAGAAACACTGACTCAAAAGAAATTCCTTCAAGTGTCTCAAGAATTTCACAATACTCAGTTTTCTCAAATCCTCAGATAGAGTATTACGAATATTATAATTTGAAGAATTTTTTTGAGATTTATTCAGACGAAAACGATTTGAGCATATATTGTTCGCATCCCTTGTATTGAAATTATGAATGTCCGAATGTTTCGCCAAAACTTTGTCTTCTTGTGGATTTCAAGAAGGACATAAAAGAGATACAGAGATGTGAGCGAAATAAAGGTTGGCAATGAAGCCATATCAGCTACGTTACCCCAGAAAACAATTCCATAACTCCTTTTTGAATGAACCAGAGAGAAATATGTCATATTCAATGTAATGTTACTTGTTATGGTTTTCAACTGACGAAGAATGAAAATAGATGTGGACAATTTATTTAAAAGAGAAATAAATATGTGAATTCCAAGATAGGCCATTGACTATGAAAAGTCCAAGTTTTTTTTAACAATCTCGTGTTCAGATCTGTGAGGATACTTTGAGAAAAATGGCATTCATATTTTACCACTATTCAATTTAAGTTTGTACTTTGCAAACCAATGGTCAGATCTTTCCCTTGCCTTTTCATGAGTTCTCATCAGGTCCGTCATATTTTCTTCTGAATATATAGAATTAGTACCATCAGGAAAAAAAATCTAATTATAGTTGTCCATATATTCATCAAGGTCATTGACATATATAATGGATAATTAAGGTTCTATTATTATTATTACATACCGCGTCATCTTGTAGCTGTCAATTAACTTTCCTAATTCATTATTCCCTCATGATAATGCTTCAAACTTTCTGTAAAAATTTATTCATAAATATTAGCGATAACAGATAAATTTCGTAAAAATGTTTCATCTCAAAGACAATATAAATGGAATCTATCACTTAATGAAATCCAGCAAAATTCCGTATCAGACATCAACACCACTCAAAGGTTATCTCCTTTTCTAGGGTACAGTGCCGGAATATATAAATCCGTAGAATTCTAGCCTACCTAATCAGTTGGAAGCTACTACAATCATGATAATGATTGGAAAGTTGGCTGTGCTTTTGGTAGTGTTTTTTGTTTTAACAATTGCCTCCAGTGACGTACTTGACAACGAAGTGAACGGCTGCAATTTGCCAACTGAACTCAAATCCGAGATCGCTTCTTATGGCCCGACAGTGAACAGAATCATAGATGCTCTCACGAATGGCAAGTTCAAAGGGGGTGTTTACAATGATCTGGCAAATTTTGTGGATAAGTTTGGAGCCAGGTTGTCCGGGACGAAGAATTTGGAGAATTCAATAGATTACATGTTGGATTTGATGAAGAACCGCAGTTTGGAAAACGTCCATGGTGAACATGCTATGATTCCTCATTGGCAGAGGTAAGTATTGTAAGGAATGGATGAATATTGATTTGTGAGGGAGTTACAGCTTATCTAATCTAGGAAGAGACTTGAGAATCATCTCTCCCTCTCTCTCTCCCGCTCTAATAGTCTTCTAACGAACGTACATCTAGTGGGCCGGACCATAATGGAATTCATAAAGCTCTTCCTACATTCGACAAGCTATACCAATATTATTCTTGATGTTTATAGATGTTCATGCCTCCAAAATTGAAAGAATGTCTTCAGAATGAATCAAATATGTAAGAAAATAACTATATTTTCAGAAATGTTACTACGTCCAATATACCGAACGTTGCTAATTTTTTTGGTATAAAAATTCAACTTCTATTTTCAGAAAAAGTAGTCATGTTTTATTCAAATTTAGTGAATATATTGGCATATTTTTGGCTTCACTCAATGCTAACAGTTTTTTAATTAACACGCTTTTATTAGCTTAACATATATGTTTGTATGTTTGTTTGTAACTCTGCTTGCTTAATCTATTCGCGGGCAGATGACGCTGTAAGTAACCTCCTTGATATATCGACATTATTGCTTGATCTATTCGCCGGCAGATGGCGCTGTACGCAACCTCCTAGATATAATTCGAACTCACTTCACATGTATTTACACTCACTTTACATTTGAAAAAAGTATTTATTTTTATTAACACGCGCACCTGCTGCCTTATTTGTAACCCTCCTTTGCGCGCCTGCTGCCTTGGGCTTGGTAGCTGATTTTCAGGCTCCCTCTCCGGAATCGGAAAATATCAATGGTCATTTTTCTAAACAATATACGGCTGATTGATCCCAAAGTTTAGATATAATAAATATAGTTTAAAAAGACTAAAAACACGCTTTTATAGCATACGAAACTAAAAAATGAAAAATAAATATAGTTCAAATAAACTATACAACACGCTTTTAGAGAACATCGAACTAAAAAGTTGAAAATATTTTTTTTTAAATAAGCTTAAAACAATAACGAACGAAAAACACTAGTATTATTGTGAAAAAAGCGTGGGCACTTTGTGTCATTTTCTTTGTATATCAAGCGCCCGTCGCCTTCCACTCTTCACGGCTTATGATTTTGACCGTGAAGTTTGTGTTAAAGGTGTACTTCGATGCCATGTGGTCCGTGCAAATATTCAATATGTGCTCCTCCACTCGTTCCGAAATTTCTATTCGGTCCGATCTTCAGTGGTTCGGTGAGTTTTCCAGTCTGAATTGGCCTATCCTGGCCTTCCCCATTATCACAAAATGTAAAGGAGGTAGATTCAGGAGTATCTCCAATGCAGCTGTTAGGGTAGTTCTCATTGCTTCCGTCATTCCCAAACATGCAAGTCTTTGCACCTTGCCTAGTTTGTTGATGGCGGTCGCCTGCTTCATCTTTGGCCACCAGACCAGAGATGCGTATGTTATCATGGGTTTAATCTAGGATCACTCCCAGATATCTATCCTCCCCCGACACTTGTATTTCTTCACCTCGGAGTTTTAGAGGTCCGATACCCTCCGTTTTAGTCCTCTTGGTGAATGCTACTATGGTCTTGTTATAATGTTCAAGTCCTGCTACATGCATCCCTTCACTACATTATTGTATTTACCCTGGACTAAGATGACTAAGTCAGTTGCATAGCCCAGTGCTTTATACCCATTATGTTCCAAGAGACATACCTGACCTTTATGCATATTGGTCTCGATGTAATGGTCTGATAGCCAGTGATACGTCGCTGATATGCCTGTCAAGTAGTTTTTCTAGCGTTTTCAACGCAAATGACATGAGACTAATTGGTCTCAAAGCCTTCGCCGAGCCATGTCCGATTTTCCCAGGTTTCGGAATGAAGGTGGCCCTGATCAGTCTCCAAATTTTTTATATATGTCCCAGTGCTAAGCTGGCCCTGAGAATTATACACAATTTTTTGAAAAGTACTTCCGGTCCCTTTTGAAGTATTACTGGGTATATGCCATCCGGTCCCGGCGACTTATAGGGTGGAGATGAATTTACAGCCCATTTGATTTTCTCCATATCTATCACCTTCTTTGTCATTTGCCAGCCCTCCCAGGATGCCCTTTTCGGGGTCTCCAGTTCTGAATTCGCCCAGGACTCCGGTGTTAGATTTGTAATTTCTGACCCGGGAAAGCTCTCTGGTAGTCTCTTCTCCGGTTTTTGTATACTCCTCCGTATTTGTTTTCAGATTACTTATTGAGACCTGAGGTTTCTTCGAGAGTATTTTGTAGAGCCTGGCACATGCTTGGGTCTGCTCGACCTCCTCACATTGCCTTCTCCACGTATCTCTCTTGGATTTTCTCAGGACTTTGTTATACTCAGTTAGGGCCTTTCTGTATTGGTCCCATGAACCTGATTTCCTTGCGTGTTTGAAGGCTTTTCTAGTTTTTTGTCTCATCCTCGCCAGATCTTCATTCCACCAGGGCACATTCCTGTTTGATCTCTGATTTACTATGGGACAATGTTCGTTATACGTAGAGATGATAGCTCCCTGTAATCGATCTGCTGCCAACTCTAGGTCTGTGGAATCTCTGATGTCAAAATCCATGCGGTCTAAACAGGTTTCCAGGTCCACCGTATTTTTTCCGGTGTTTTCCGGGGATTTTGATATGTTAGGATCGAGGTCTGAATCCCTCCGACTTCAAAGTTTATGTTTCGATGGTCTGAACAACTTTCCTCATCGGACACATTCCATTTCCGAACATAGTTACTTATAAATGTAGTTCCTATCGTTACATCTATCACTTCACTACGTCTCGCATTCACGAAAGTAGGTTTATTGCTTATGTTCAAAATGTCCAAGTTATTTGCCATGATAAACTGTAGTAAGTGCTCACCTCTTTCATTGGTGTTTGTGCTTCCCCAGGTTAGGTGGTGTGCATTGGCATCACACCCAATTATAAGTTGTAGTCCCTCTGCTTGGCATGCCCTAACCAACTCCTCCACTTCCCTGGTTGGTGGTGGTTTCGGACTGTCCTTTACGGATGATTATGCATGTTCTTGGGGCCTCTGAGGTTCTGTTATAAATTAACTCCCCTCTGATGCCCCCCAATCCCATTATTTTTCCCCTGTATATCCAGAGTTCTTTTATGAGAGCAATATCAAACCCCCCCATCACTTTGGCAAGGACAGCCGAGGCCCCCTTACTGTGTTGCAGGTTTGTTTGTATCACTCTCAACATTGCTGTTAAGGAGCTTGAAGGGGGCCATGCCCAGTTTGTAGTAGGCTTTGAACATGTTCTTCTCCAAGGTCCCGAAGGAACTTTCATTCGTGGAGTAGGCCAGGATTTCTCCTTCCTCTTCCACTTTTCTGCTCCTGAGGATCCAGTTTTCCACTTCCAGGGCAGGATTCTGCTTACTAAGGCGTGTCTTAACTGTAGCCTCCTCGTCTTTTTGGCCCGGAATGGAGGCTAGGACTCTGGGTCTCTTCGGGAGTTCGCTGGCCTCGACCACGGTCAATTCCGCCCTCTCCCAAAGATTTCCCAAGTTTCCAATGCTTCCTCTGAACCATTCTTTTGTCCCTTCATTCGCACAGGTTATTCATAGGACCCCTGCACCGAATGAGGTCTTTTTGAATTGGAGGTTTTCGAGGCTACCAGAGGGAGTATTGTCCAATTCGCGGTCCCTCCTGTCCCTCCTGGATCAGGTCTGCTTGACCCTGACTCAGGGTGACCTCGGGGTGTCTCGTGTCGGTGACCGCCACCCTCAGGCCCCTAGCAGCCTCGCTATAGGTATTGAATGTTTATTTTGGTTTTGTTTGGTAATCAGAATGTTAGTATTGTTCTATTCCACCATATATACATTAACATTTTCTTAAAATATGTTCAACTCATTTTTATCTTTCAATACCTTTTAAAGAAATCTGAAGCCTAGATTGCAATATTTTTTGAAGTCATTTAGGAAACACACATTTATTGGGAATTGATTGAGTTTTATTGATTGATGAGGATTTTCTCCTATCAGGACTTTGTAAAACTCATATTATTCAATTGTTATTCGCTTTTATAAAAGTGGTAAAAAATAAGTTTCAATTATCTTTTCTTCATTATGATCTCCTAGTACGTAGTAACGGCTACATCAATTCAATGTTTTCTCTATTGTTCTGAATATAATTATTTTTTTCTCAATTTTTGCGATAAGCTGAGATATGTGATGCATTTTCCAAATCATGAAACAGATTAGATTACTCTCGTATTGTTTGTGACCCCAATATATTCTGATCACCTCCATCTGAATTGTTTCAGTTAATCTGAATTTTTATCCCTGACACTATCTACGTTCAATGATAATGAATTTGGTAGATGTATGTATGTATGTTCGTGCCTCTTTCACGCCTAAACGACTGAACGGATTTAGATGACACTTTACATAAATACAGTTTATACATCAGAATAGCATATAGGCTACAATTTACAAAGGTTTCGTGTAATTTCGGTTATAATAAAATGATGAGTATTAAGTAAGTCGGAAAAATTCTTGCTCTCTGAGAGCTATCTTGGCGTGTGCTGCCTACCGTTGGAGTTACATGCAGATAATGTACCATAAGATTGTTTATCTTAAATAGTTCTAAATAAAAGTCCGCGATAGCATATATCTACCTGTTATGTGGTAGCACTTTATGCAAAATACTTAGTCATAAATACAATTAAATTGGATACTTTTTTTACAATGTACATTTTAGAATATCTCTCAAATTCTTATAAAAATTGTTACAATTGTCGATTCAAGTATTTAATATAGGTAGAAACTTTGTCTTTTACACTAAGTAATTTGGACAAACTGTTTGAAAGTTATCACGATAAGAATAATTTGGCGCAACACAGTAAGCCATTGCGCGTCGCATCTACTGTAAGACGACGCGGAGGTAGAAGAGCGGTCTAAGCAATGAAGCGTCATCGCCTAGAATGTGACCCGAATGCAGGCAGACGCGTGGCGGTTGACGTCGTTGGCGGTTGTCTTAGTTTTGCGAATTTCTTTATAGGTAACATAATTCGATTGTTGAAGCTATTCATTACTCAGTGCAGTTGGCATATTGTTTCAGTTACTGTATTTTTGAAGTTAAAGTATAAATTACTAACTGTTTCTTGCTCTTATTTTAACGTACAGCCTAAGCTACAGAACTTAGAATCTAGAAGTATGCCGGTAGGTTCTTTGTATAGCGTAAATAAGCATCAAAAAAGGGAATCAGGAATGTTCATCTCCAAGGGGAAAATGGGGGTTCCAAGTGCTACTACTGACGTTGAAGAAACTTTCACGAAATTACTACGAAAAAATTGAGCAAAACAATTTTTAGAACAATTTTTGATGGAGTAATTTACTAATGGCAAATCCTGATTCAACATAGTATACCAGCAAGTTTGTTCTTCAAAAATGTCGCCAACCAATAAGAACAATAAGAGCATAATATATATTGAGCAACTGACTGTTAAAACTGTTCGTGAGTTGATGAAGAGATACTTCGAAGAATCAAGTTTTGAAATTAATTGGTGACAGTGGGCTTTCCAGTTGAGAAAGTCATCTAGAATGATTCCCAAGAATCTTACATTGTGATCAGTATTTGTTAGGGTCACATTGTTCACCATGAAATATATGCTTTCCACTCTGTTTTGCCAATTGTGAATACGAGTAACTTCTGTTTTGTCTGCATTGAAGAATAAGTCATTGTTATCGAAGTAATTCGATATCCGGCTTACTATTGTGGCACAATCGTTTTCTAATATTTTTTATCTGATGGAGATATAACTAGTAAAATTCATTCGGTAACTACTGAGTCGATGTTATTTACATAGAGTACAAACAATAGAGGACCCATTATCAAACTCTGTGGCACACCCATACTTAGACTGAGACATTCAAAATTAACTCTGTAGATTAAATTTTTTCTATTGACTTGTACTAACAAAAATTGTTTTCTATTTTCGAGAAATAATAATAATAATGTTTATTCACAGATATATCATTATATAAGATGTGAATCTATGATGATTCCTAAATATTCAATTTTTTCTTTTGGTTTTATTGTACATTTTGTTAGAGTAATATCAAACGTAGGAAGAAATGCATCTTGACAGTTAAATGGTAGGTAGTGTGTCTTTTCGAAATTTATTGATAAGAGGTTATAGTCGAACCACATTTTCAATTTATTGAGGTCTGTTTGAATTTCATTTTTCAGGTCATACCAGTTGTTGTCTGTATAAAAAAGGACAGTATTATCAGCAAAGCTTGTGATTTTTCCACTTTTTTCCACACATAGCAGGTCGTTGAGGTATATTGTGAATAATATTGGTCCCAGTACCGTTCCTTGCGGTACTCCACATGTAATGGATTTTTTCCGCCTCGTTTTCCCTTTGAATTTCAATATTTGCCCTCGGTCTGTTAGATAATTCTTCAATAATTCATATGATGAACCTCTTATACCTGTGTTCTCAAGTTTTCGTAGAAGAATGGAATGGTCAACGGTATCGAAAGCCTTCGTGATATCTATAAATACTGCTATCGATGGAATAATGCATTGTATATGTCTCCAGTTGAGACCTGAATTGCGTCCTGGGTAGATTTTCCCTCCCTAAACCCGTATTGTGTTATTGAAAGTAATCCATATTTGTTAATGAATTTGCTCAATCTAGTTTTCAACATTTTTTCTAGTATTTTGGTGAGGTTTGAAATTAAGGAAATAGGTCTATAGTTACTCATATCAGTTTTATCTCCGCTTTTATAAATAGGCGCTTAAAGGCAGCTTGAAGGCAGAGGCTTGAACGCAGTTCATTTCAGAACTCGCGTATAAAAAAATGCTTGCAACGAAAATGGCCCAGAAACTTGTCATAATGGCAAAAATAAATGTGTCAGAAAGTGAATGGTGAACATTGCGAACATTCATTGGAATGTTTGATTCTTTTTTTTTTCAATTATGTTATCGTTTATTTGTAGATGGTCAAAAGGAATATAAAACTGCTAACCACTCCGAAATGGCTGAATCGATTTCTAAAAGTAAAAAAGTATTTTTTTATTTGCGAATAACCTCATCAACCTTATGGTTATTCGCGGCAGAAAAGATATTTATAAGCAGTCAATACACTGACTACAGAATTATATTTTGTTGGACAAGTTCAGAGCACTGAAGTTATTCATAATCTTGCTAGCACCAAAGTATCAACTTCACAAATGTGGCACTGTCGTGGATTTGCTAGAGATATCAAGTATACGTGGGTGACTCCTGATAGGAGTCAAGTGATCATTACTTTCTTCTTTTGTGCTCCGTAGGTTCCATGGTCCGACTTTGGGTTTCCATTCTCTCAGTTTGTATGGCGTAAACTGCCATTCAATGTACTACTTACTCAACTTGAAGTTTTGTTTTATATCGGTATGATATCTATACATTGTTGTTTCCTGGTTTGTGTTGCTGATCGCATAAAAGCCAGCCTTTTCGTTTCCCGCAATCTCCACAAGTGAAGGGAGCCGAACTAGGATGATTTCCTTGCTGAGCGTTTGGAGTTCGTAAAACTACTGTTCGATAAGTATTCCAGTTGGGTGTTCAACATACATCCGTTGAAGGAGTTTTAAGGCACTGAAGGAGTCTGAAATTATTGAGACTGTGTCCGATGCACTTGACTTAGCGTAGCGAAGAGCTTGAAGGCAGGCGAATAATTCTCCGGTTAGTATTGTTGCTGTCTCTGGAAGATTGAAGGTGAATGCAACATGGTCAGTCATTACTGCAGCCTCTTCTCCGAAATGAGTTTTGGAAGAGTCTGTGTATATTTCTTCAGGGTGGTCGTATTGGTCCAGGATTTGCCGAAAATTTTGTATGAAGATGTTCTTATTCATATCGTGTTCAGGAAACTGTGATAAGAGAGTGTTTATGATAGGAGTCTGTATGATCCATAGTGGTGCAGATTGGATGCTTATAGGGTACGCGGTGGGAAATGACTCCATTTGTAAAGAACTAATGTGTCGTTGGATCTTTTTGTAAAATGGAAGATCATTTGTTGATTCTTTATTGTGTTTCTGTAAGTGCGAATGTTCTTAATCGATGCAGCTGCTCCAGTATAAGACAAATTCAACTGCGAATAATGAAGAACGTTATTCAAATTGACAGTAGAAGCTTTCCTCTGGCGTAGTACTATAAGCTCTTGCAATTATGCGCAGACCAGAATGACATATTGAATCCCATTAAAATAATGTTCTTCGTTTAACAGAAACATATTCTTCGACTTATCGAAGGCATTCGACATTATTGACCTGGGATTAATCGAAAGTAAATTATATTCCCTTGGTTTTTGTGGAAATTTCTTGTCATGGCTATTTGTCATACATGCGCTTCGGGAAAATATCAGTTGAAATTGAAGAGCATAAATCTGAATATTATGAGATGGACCGGGGAGTTCCTCAGGGAGCCTCTTATTTTTTTGTTATTCATAAACGATCTACCTGACAATATAGTTAAGATTCAGTAGTTCTATATGCAGATGATACTACATTGGCCATTGGTTCAGATAGTCCTGAAGGCTTACAAAAAAAATGAATAATTTAGCAGAAGAATTCATAAATTGGTGATAGTGAATGCGGAAAAAACAGTCTGTATGCATTTACATTCTAGGTGGATATCTGTGACTGATATTCAAGTGGTTGTCAAAAATAGCACTATTCATCTTTCTGAAGTTACGAAATTCCTTGGAACTTATATAAATAGTGGAATGAGTTGGGAAAATAATATTGATGCCATAAGCAAAAAAGCGAACACAGGTTACTATGCTATATTGCAATTAAAAAATATATTCAATGCCAATCAAGTCATCAATGTATATTATGCTCTAATCTACTGCAACATATCTTATAACATCAACATCTGTGGATGCTCCAGTAACTCAAGCAGAATATTTGTTTCCCAAAAAGGAATTATCCGACTCATTATCAATCTAAAACCAGATGAATCGTGAGGACATATTTTCAAAAATATAAAGTTTTAACAGTTCCATGTATTAATGTTTTCAAATGTATAATATATTATGCTTATATTTATGTTATGCTAATGCTTATGTTTACTAATTTATGCAACATGTTGAGATTTATCAAACAGTTTCTCATTGCCATGATTACCCAACTAGAAATGGAGACCTCATCAGAATTCCTGCACATAGCTCATCATTCTATGAAAAAAGCCTCTCATATAGCCCCTCATATAGCCCCTCAAATTAAAAATTGAAAGTATATTTGCAAGACAAATGTTACTACAGTATCAAAGAATTTCTTGATGCAAAGTGAAAATGTGTTGAATAGTGATATTTTAATATTGTTGATTGTAAATTTGTCTACCATCACACGGTTTTTCATTTGTGACGTATCCTATATCATGCTGTATGTAATCTGTAAGGATTGAGTAAAGATTATTATTATTATTATGCAAAACAACCATACTCTAATTTAGAACGTAATATAGATCTGATAATTTTTATGGTCACTTTCGGTTTTAACACGTGGAAATACATTAAAATCATCTAATTTCAACCCCGAAACAAAAACTTTGTTGTGTTGTGAGATCTGTACAGTAGCGGCAGTGTTGAACCTTCTGCACCCCATTGTTTATGATCTAGGTGTTTCAGTGAGTTTACTCCTTTTTGGTATAATAGCACTAGATGTCTGACATGTAGCTTCCTATTCAATTGTTGGTCGAACATTATCTCATAAAACAGTATTGGATCGAGAATTGAATTACCTGTTGAACGAGATATCAGAAAACCTTCCTTTCCATTTGAAAAATGAGTTGGTAGCGCCATCTCGGCGATGAGTGATGCAGCATTTATGTCTTTCTTGAAAAGGATAGTGAAAATGAAGCATTTATACGTAAATTCTGCCTGACCTTGATATCTAGTTCCGTTCAAAAGTTAAGATGAGGGGGACTATTTAGGTCCGCATTGTATAATACGTAATTGAAACTTTTCTAGGGGGGATGAATCAGGAGAACTATTAGAACCCCGAAAAGCCAAAATTGGAGTTCTGTCTCTAGGAAGTTCTGTTGGAACACCCTCTGGAAGCATTCAAGCAGAAGTTCTTGTTGTCCGATCATTTGAAGAGCTTGAACAAGCAAATTTTTCCCAAGCAGCCAAAGGTAATGATAATATTCGATAATACAGCGCATTCAAGTTGAAACGAGCCGCCCTGAATGAAAATTCCTATATGGAAACTGTGAAAATAATGGTGAAACATGTCACTAATAGTCAAGTGATACATTTACGAGAATTATTTCAGTTCTGTGTCCAACCCTGTAACATCATCACGATGAGCGAAAGCCGAAATCTTTCTTACCTATTTCTAATTTTTTTTATTTGAAAATAACCGCATCAACCTTATGGTTATTAGCGGCGGAAAAAATATTTACAAGCAGTAACTATTTTGATTACAACATTATACTTTGTTAGATAAGTTCAGGGCACTTAAATAATTTAAAATCTTGCTAACACTAAAATAATTCAAGGTTTCCTGCGATTCCGTCGATATTTTGCACATTTCCCTTTCTAATTGAAACACTGGACACTGCACTATGATGTGATGTATTGTTAGTGCAACTTCACAAATGTGGCACTGTGGTTGATCTACTAGAGATATCAAGTATTCCTGGGTTAGTTTGGTGTGTCCTAATATAAATCGAAGACGGGTGATTATAACTTGTTCCCTTCTTTTCAGAATATGCATGTTTCGTTAAAAATACCAAAAGTAAAAAACAAGTACAATTACCTTATCTTCCTCCAACCTTAGTTGCTGCTCATCAATATCTTTCTCGGGTATTTTCAAGTGTGGCTTGGTTATCAGCTAGACTCTACAGACTGGGGTTGGTAGTTGATCAAAAATTCATTAGAACCAGTGCAAACGTGCACTGCGCCGGAAAAACTGCTCAACACAATTTTTTGCAACTGCAAAAAGGGGTGCAGTGCTGAATGTGGTTGCAAAACGGTCCGTGCTCCAATAATGAATCACCAACAGTGGAGGATCCGTTTGATTCCAACGAAGCGACATGCGATTCTTCGCTTTTAACGCAGTTCACATGTACTCAGGATGAAGATGAAGGAGAAGAAGAAGAAGAACAAGACGAACAAGAAGATCAAGAAGAAGAACAAGAAGAAGAGTTTGAAAGTTACAACTAGGACGATTAAATTTCACTACTTTTTTTTAACTTAAATTGCTTTTATATTTTCAATCTCTGGTAATATCCATTATTTTGTAATAGTTTCAAATTAAACAGGATCACAACTGACCCGTGGAATAGGCCTACTGGGGAAACCACGTTTAAAAAAACGCGCAAAGTACACTAGTTAGCTTGGAAACGTGTGCATATTTCAACGACTACAACTTTTATCGCGAAAAACTAATTTTTTGACCTTTGACCTTGAATAGAACTTTTTCCATACAGGGGAAAGATGGGGACCTTTCAAATTTCATTTTTAATAATATTTTAAACAATCTTACTGATTTTCAGCTTGGTGGGAACTTGAGTAGCTTCGAATGTCTAAATTGGCCGGACTATTCATGGAATAGCAAACATTTAAACCGATTTCTTGATACCATATTCTTTGATCATGGAATAACTGACCAATTATTCGAATTGATATTGGGTCTTACCAGGCTGAACAGGTGTAGTTCCATTTCCATTAGTTTCATGTACTTCACTCATACTCAGATTAGTTGCTTGATTTGGAGTTGAAACATGACTTGTGCTAGTTGAAGACTCTGAGACGAAAGTAATACGAGTTTCATACGTACAAGATCAGAAAGGTCAAAAAAAAATGTTATCATAAATGATTTCCAAGCGCATTTCTTCATTTTGTCTGTATCTTAAACTAATATTGATTGAAATCAAATAAAACAGACCTGT